AGTTTAACTTCTTCCTTTCCTATCTTTATTCCTTTTATTTCTTTCTCTTTTCTAATTGCTGTGGCTAATGTTTCCAGGACAATATTGAACAGGAGTGGTGATAGTGGGCATCCTTGTCTTGTTCCTGATTTTAGCGTGAAAGGTGATAAATATTTTTGATGACTAAAGTATTTATAATTTAGAGCCCCCCCCCCCAGTATGGGGGATAGAACTCAGGACCTTGCACTTGCCAGGCAGGTGCAGTCCCACTGAGCTAAATCCCCGGCCCAAGTTAAACACTTTTGAAATCATAATAAAGGTTCCTTTATGGTCTCAATCATGGAATAATCTCTTTCTTAAATAAATAGATTTGAGTGTAGAATGTGTGTGTGTGTGTGTGTGTGTGTGTGTGTGTGTGTGTGTGTGTGAGAGAGAGAGAGAGAGAGAGAGAGAGAGAGTTACTGGAGATTGAACTCAGGGAGTGGTGAGCTATATCCTAAGCCATTTTAAAATTTTATTTTGAGACAGTTTTACTAAGTTTCCCAGGTTGTCTTTGAATTCTCAATTCTCTTGCCTTAGCCTCCCTCCTGGCTGGGATTACAGGTACGTGCCATTTGGCCCGGCTTTAGAAATGTTTTTTTTTTTTTTTTGCCATTTTTGGGATAGAACCAAGGGTCTTTGTACTGAGCTACATCTCCAGCCTCCTTTATAAATTTTGAGACACAGTCTTGCTAATTCATTATATTGCCCATGCTGGGTTTGTTCTTGCAATCCTTCTGCTTCAGCCTCCTGAGTGCTGGGATTACAGGTGTGTGGCACCTTGCCCAGTTTAGAATTTTTAATTATAGTGCAATTCATAAATTATCTTAGTTTCTTTTTGTTTTATTATGTCATTATATCTTAGTTTGGGGGATATGCATATATATTTCATATGGATGTGTACATATATCAAGGGTAGTAGTTTTCTTTCTCTTCTAAGGTAATTCATGATTATAGTTTTTTTTTTTTTTTTTTTTGGTACTGTGGCTCGAACTTGGGTCCTTGTGCTTGTGAGGCAGATGGCGGAACCACTGAGCTAAATCCCCGGCCCCCATGAATTACAGTTTAATGTCTGTTCTGTTGTATTTTTTTAAAAAAATTTTTTATTAGTACCTGTTTGCAGTACATAGTGATTATATTCTTTCCTTGTGAAGAGTTGTTACATGTGCACAACACATCTTGATTCTTTTTTTCATCTCCTTCCCTCTCAATCTGTTGTGTTCTCTCTTTTTCACTGTCTTATTATCCTCCTTCTTCCTTTTTTTTTTGGTTATGCTGAGAATCAAACCTAGCATATGCTAAGCAAGTGCTTCACCACTGAATTATATCACCCAGCCCAAAGTCTTATTCATTCTTAAAGTCCAGTGTATCCATCTTGGTGTACTAGGAAAAATATTAAATTGTGCAGACACTGTCTTAGTCGTGTCCCTTCCATTTAGAAGATATATGGCATTTGGTTAGTTATTTATCCTGTATATCAGGTATCAGGAAGGTACTGGCATTTTTACCTTATTAAATGATTTTGAGCCAATATTGAATTCAATTTGTAGTGAGTCATCTAAGCAAACTGTTGAAGATAGCTCATTAAATTCACATCAGTCCTATACATATTCTCCAGGATCTTGCTAATATAAAATTAACAAGATTGGATTTCTTTTGCTATGTAAGTTATTTCCTCCCAGGCTAGACTGTGCATTTCTCCTTGTACTGCAGCATACTGAGATCTTGTCAGTCTATGGTGAGTGTGGGGAGATGGATCTTGCAAAGCAACTATTTCTGCTGTGACCATTGCTAAATTGTTAAGAATAGAAGGTTAGATTTTATATCCTGATATGTTGCTGAATTTGGTTAGTAGTTCCAGGAGTCTTTTGGTCTTCTTTGTAAAGCATCATGTGGTCTGTATACCAATAATGAATCCATTGAGAAAGGAATTAGGAAATAATACCATTCACAACAGCCTCAAGATAAATTAAATATTTAGGAATTAACCTAACCAAGGAAGTAGAAGACCTGTACAACAAAAACTAGTATCCTAAAAAAAGAAGTTCAAGTGGGCATCAGAAAATGTAATGACATCTCCTGTTCCAGTGAGGCAGAACCAATATTAACAAAATTACCATATTAACAAAAGTGATATATAGATTTAATGGAATCCCAATCAAAATACCAACAACATTCTTCACAGAACAAGAAAAATCATAAAATTTATATGGAACCAGAAGAGACCCAGATAGCAAAAGCAATTCTGGGCAACAAAAATAAAGCAGGAGCCATCACGAAGTCGAATTTCAAGTTATATTACAAAGGTACAGTGATAAAAATGGCACAGTACCATGCAAAAACAGTTATAGGGACCAGTGGAACAGAGTAGAGGGTGCAGAAACAACTCAAGTCATCTCGTCTTTGACAAAGGGGCAAAAAACACACACTTGAGGAAAGATAGTCTCAACAAATGGTGCTTGGAGAACTGGTTACACACACGCAAAAAATTGAATTTAGACCATATCACTTACCATGTACTAAGATAAAATCAAAATGGATCGAAGACCTGGATTTAAAACAGAAAAATTGAATCTAATGGAATATAAAAATGGGTAAAACTCTTGACATAGGCTTAGGTAGAGACTTTTTGAACAAAATCACAATTGCATAAGAAATAACATCAAATATCAACAAGTCAGATTATATAATATCAAATTTAAAAGACTTCTGTACAACAGAGGAAGCAATAGAGTGGAGACAAAAATTACAGAATGGGAAATTTTTTGTCAGCTCCTTGGGCAGAGGACTAATATCTAGAACATACAAAGAACTTAAAATTAGGTTGTCATCTAATTTTAGAGTAAGAAAGGACCTTATAAAATAATCTAGTTTTAACTCTGATCTATTTCTGTCACAGTACTTCACTGAGTATCACAAATTAGATAATAGTTTGTTAGAATCTCTGCTAAATGGACATTTTTATTACTTTAAGCTCTATTAGTGACCCCATAATCAAGAGAAATAATATAGACAGTATTTACCAAACTCTACTTTGATGGAGTTTGCTCTTTGATTAGGAAATAAAGGGTAGAAGAGAAATTTTTTTTTTTTTTGGTGCTAGGGATCGAACTTGGGATCTTGTGCTTGCAAGGCAGGTGGCAGAACCACTGAGCTAAATCCCCAGCCCCAAGAAAATGTTTTTTAAAGTAATTACTGTGTGTTCTCTGTGTATGTGGATTTTTTGTTTGTTTGTTTGTTTTTTGAGTCAGAGTCTTGGTATATAGTTCAGGCTGACCTTGAGCTTACTCTGTAGCCAGGGCTGGCCTTGAACTCAGGTGATCCTCCTGCCTCAGCATCCTGAGTGAGTACTGGGATTATAGGCTTGTGCCACCATAAATACCACTGGCTATTTTTTCATTTTTAGGGTATGACTGTTTCTGTTTAAAATGTGATTTTTCTTTCTTTTTTTTCTGGTTATGAGGATTGAACTCAGGACCTTGTGCTTGCCAGGCAGGCGTGGCACTACTGATCAACATCCCTGGCCCTCTTTATTCTTGTAAAGAGTTTATAAACAAATTTTTTTCATTTTCATTTTTTTCTGTAGTTGGTTCTCTAAAATAAGAAACACTGTGTGTCAATTGGTAAAGTAGTGCTTCCTTTCAAAAATATGTTTATAAGTTCTTAGAAATATTATGGAAGCAAATTTCTCTAAGAAATTTAAATGTTTGAGTGCATGATCTTGTAATCTTGGAGACATGTTTTAATATTGGTTCATGAGCTCAGAAATCTGTTTGTAGCTGTCAAGCTATGAGAGCCAGATTGCCAAGCTACGGTCTGAGGTTGAAAAAGGAGAAGCATTTCGACAGAGTCTGGAGTATGACCTGGCTGTCGCTAGAAAGGAAACTGGTCTTGGAAGACGGGCTGCAGAAGAGAGGTTAGCTGAGGCATGTAGGATCCAAGAAGAACTCTGTAGTAAGACCATTTCTATTTCTTACCATGTTTAAGGGTATAACCTCTATATCATCGCTTACTGTTGCGTATCCGTGTACGATCAGAGGGATAGGGTTTTGATGCATTGATTGACCTTTGGTGGACAGACTTTCTGGCAATTATGTGAACATTTATGTACTTTAGATTATTTTATCTATTTATTTTTGTGTTGTTGGGGTTATGTTGTGACAAGGTGTTGCTGAATTGCCCCTGCCGGCTTTGAAGTTACAGTTCTCCTGCTTCAGCCTCTTCAGTAGCTGGGATTATACGTGACCATCACTGTGCCCAGTTGTTAATTAGTTTTAGAGATACTTGTTCCATGAAACAAATAGAACAGCAGAACCATGAAAGAATTTTTATTTTTAAAATATATATTGCAGGCCACTAGTCATACATAATATGAATCAAACCTCTGACCTAAGAGTCTGTATGTTCAAGAAACATTGCAGGTGATGTTTTTCATTCGCTAGGGTTAAGAACCACTACTGTTACAGCTGGATGTGGTGGTGCATGGCTGTAATCTCAGCACTTTGGCAGGGCTGAGGCAAGATGCTCTCACATTAAAGGCCAGCCTGGGCAATTTAACTACTTATGGAGATCCTATCTCAAAATTAAAAGGTTGAGATGTAGCTCAGGACAAAGATCCTGAGTTCAATCCCTAGTACTGAAAAAAAAAAAGCTGTTATGTTGGACTTGGGCTTAAATCTTTTTATTTAAGTATGAATAAATACATATAAAGAAATTCATCTAAATCACTGTATAATTCACAGCAAGCCCCTAGATTGTGGAATATAAAATTACCAAGTGCTCCTTTACCTGGGTAACTACTACTGGGTAACTACTACTCTACCATAGCATGGATCAATTTTATTTTTCTGCATTCAGAATCATATAGTGTATCTTTTGTATCTAGCTTCTTTCTCTCAATGTTGTGTTTATCAGATTCGTCCATATTGTTGTATGAACTTGGTACTGATGTTTAGTGTTATATTGTATATAAACATACCACACTTATATTTATTCATTTATTATTGATAGATATTTGGGTGATGTCTGGGTTTTGGATACTGAGAATAATGTTGTTAGCCAGGTGTGGTAGCATGCCTTTGTAATTGCAGCTACTTGGGAGATGTGAGGTAGGAGTTTTACAAGTTTGAGACCAGCCTGGGCAACTTACTGAGGTCTTATCTCAAAGAAAAAGGAATCATGTTATGAACATTCTTGTACATAGGGTTTTAATTGAGAGTATTGAATATCAATTCAGACTTAGATTTACTTTCTTTTTTTTTGGTGGTGGTAGTGGGGCCTTCACAATGAGCTGTACCCTAGCCCTTTTTATTTTTATTTTTAATTTTGAAACAGGGTCTTTCTAAGTCACCAAGTTGCCCAGGCTGAGCTTGAACTTGCAGTCCTCCTGCATCAGCCTCCCAAAGTGCTGGGATCACAGGCATGAAGTCACCATGCCTGTCTTAAATTTACATATTGTCGGGCCGGGGATTTGGCTCAGTGGTTCTGCCACCTGCCTGGCAAGCACAAGGTTCTGAGTTCGATCCCGGTACCAAAAAAAAAAAAAATTTACATATTGTTTCAATCACTTCTTTACTAATATTTGAATGTAAGTTATCTTTAGGAATGAAATAAGAAAAATGAAAGTGTTTTATATGTGCATGGGGCTAAATAATAAGTTATAATTCTTGTAGTACTTAAGATCCTTGCTTTTGGCTAGTTGCCTTTGGTTTTTAGTTTTGGTAAGGATTTTTTGATTATTTAGGGGAGAAAGAATATTCTTTTCCTCATCCATTGTAAGGTTTATGAATGACACTCATAACATAAATTTGCAAGAGAAAACAAAAAATTTATTTAAAAAAGTTTTATGTGACATAGGAGGTTTCAGAAATTGAAGATTCAAAGACCCAAGGAAAGCTCTATTTTTATGTTAAGTCTGATGAAAGATATGGATAGTTGTGGAGAAACATAATTGGACAGAAAGGATATAATGTAGTGCTAATAAATTTGGGAGAGTCAGCAAGGTCTGTTTGTTTCATAGCCTTCCTTTCCTCCTGTCACATACGAGTCTTCTGGACTATTTTCAGGGACAGTAGGTTAGAGAGAGACATTTCTAGGTTTTCTTTGGTACTGGGGATCGAACTCAGGACCTTGTGCTTGCAAGGCAGGTGCCGGAACCACTGAGCTAAATCCCTGGCCCTGACATTTCTAGCTTTTAATACTTGTTGTAGGGGTAGAAGATAGGAGAGCAAGAGAAGGCCAGAGAGGACTTCTTGCTTTTGAGACCCTCCCATATCCTTAAGCTCAAAAATACTCAGCATGCTAAAGTGCAGTACTTTGGGAGGTCATACTCTGAGCTCTCACAGTTACCTCTTGTATTTAATAACTATACAACAACTTGAGTTTAGCAACATAAGAATCGGAAGGCAATAAATACAAAAGTTAGTAACTTTCATTTGACTATCAGGAAATTTGAGGTCCAGGGAAAATGAGAAGTTATTCACTCAAGGTCAAATAATTTCAACAGATATTTTACAGAGGACAGTGACAGAACGGTATCAATAATATGAAAAGTTCTTAACTTTGCTTATCAGGGAAATGCAAATTAAAATTTCAGTGGCCCTCACTACACACTAATCAGATGGCTCTCATTGAAAAGACCGTTAGTACCAAATATGGATGGAGATGTAGAGCAACTTGTACTTTCTCAGGGAAGCATAAAATAGTACAACTACTTTTGAAAAAAGCCTGATGATTAAAAACATTGTCCTGTGACCCAGCAGTTTCACTGTTTAGCATTTTCCTTTGAGAAAGAAAATACAAAAAACGTCTGTAACAATTTCATAGAGGCTCCATCCATAGTAGCCAAAAATTGGGGAAAAAAATCCAACAATGTCTTGATAAGAAAGTGAAGAAATAATTTGTGTTACATTTATACAGTGAAATACTAAAAAATGAACAAACTACTAATATGTGCAACAGCATGAATGAATCTCAAAAACATTATGCTGAATGAAGGAAACCTTGCACATGTGAGGATATTCTATATGATTCTTTTACATAAAATTCTAGCAAAGGAAAAACTGGTTGTTAGTGAAAAACTGAACAATGATTGAGGCCTCTGGCATGAGTTGCCAGTGGGAGTTGGCTGGGAAAAATATGAGAGAACTTTTTGGATTGAAGGAAATGTTCCATATTTTGGTAGGGATTTAGGTTAACATGAATGTATGCATTTGTAAAACCTCTTTGAATGGTACCCTAAGATTTGTGCATTTTACTATATGGAAATTTTACCTTTTAATAAAGCATTATGGTTGGTGACAGACATGGTCATTCAGGAGTGTAATGCACTGCTGATACTTTCTTATTTGAAATTCGTAAAGATGGACAGATGGCAAGACATTAACAATTGTAGAGTCTAGGTTCTGTATGCCTGGGTGTTCATTGTGTAATATTTTCAACTTTCTGTATATCTGAAAATTTTTGTAATAAAAAACTTTGCGGTTAAAGTGGGATATTAAAGATAATCCCATAACAGTTGAAAGAATAGAAAATGTGACAAAGAAAAAACTTGATGTTGGAAAGCAAAGGGTTGAGGAATAAGTGATTTAGCATGCCTCAGACATCAGAACTCTAAATTAGGCATGGAGAAAACTGGCACACAGCTTCTTAGTCACAGGGCTCATGGGCTGAAGACACCAGATGTCTTTGGAAATAGGCATGGAAGGAACAGTAGGGCTAAGATAAGGAGTATTAGATGAGAGCTGCTTGAGCTGCAGTCAGATCTTTAGATCTTCTTCCCAAGAACCTTCTACTCTGATCTTTCCTACTTGCTGGTGGAGATCCAGTGGTTTTAGCTCTGGAAATGCTAAAATACAGTCTTTTGACTGGCAAAACAGAAAGGTAGACTGCTCAATGCCAAGTATCAAGAGACCATTTTGTCCAGCTTTCCCAAAAGTGAGTACCCAGATTCTTATATTTCATGTGGAATCTGAAGGACTTTTCTACGGGTCACCTGACTAAGCCAAGAGGAAAAACCTAATGTACTGATGTTGAGGATTTCTCAATAAATGTTCTACCTGGGTATGGTGGTGCATGCCTGTAATCCCGGCACTCTGGGAGCTGAGGCAGGAGAATCATAAGTTTAAGCCCAGCCTTGGCAACTTAGCAATTTAATGAGACCCTACCTCAAAATAAAAAATAAAAAGGAGTGTGAATGAAACTTAGTGCAGAGGCACTGGGTTTAATCTTCAGTACCAAAAAATAAAATTCTCAGAGCTGAAAGAAAATATACTCTATCCATGAGGAAAGGACCATATGCAATTTAAAAGAAGTTATTTATGTAGAAATGAAAAATGTTATTAGAATCATTGGAGGTGTGAAGATGGAAGAAACTTCACAGAAATTAGAGTGAAAAAGATAAAGGTGGAAAGAGGAGAGAAGAGAAGAAAATTTGAGGACTAATCTGAGTAATAGGAAATAGTGAAAGTAAGGACAAAGATAAATCATCAATGAAATTACTCAAGAGAACACCTCAGAACTGTAAGGTGTGAGTTGCCTGGTTGGATAGGCTCAATGAATTTTCACCACTATGGAAAGAAATAGGTGCGCTTTAAGGCATAGTAGTATAAAATTTCAGAGAAAAAAATCCTAAAGCTTTCAAAGAGAAAAATAATAGGCTAATTGCAAAGGGTCAAGTATCAAAATGGCCTTAAAGTTCTTACCTGCAACATTGGATGCTATACTATGGAACATTTTACCTTTTTCGACTTTTAGACCTTCATATTTTTAATCTTTGTGTGTGCATTTGGGCATTACTGGGAAACAAACTCAGGGATGTTCTACCAGTGGGCTACTTCTCTACACTTTTTATACTTTAAAAATTTATTTACTTTTTTATGGTACTGGGAATTGAACCCAGGGCCTTCACATTGAGCTACATCCCCAGCCCTTTAAAATTTTTTTGTTTTGAGACAAGGTTTTGATAAGTTGCCCAGGCTGGGTTTGAACTTGTGATCCTCCTGTCTCAGCCTCCTGAGTGGCTGGGATTACAGGTGTGTGCCTCTGTGCCTGGCTTATATTTTGAATGTATGAGCCCTTTAAATTTTGAAGAAATATACTGTAATTTTAAAATCATACTACTAACATAACTGGCATTTTTTGTTTAACAAGTGTACAACTGGCATTTTTTGTTTAACAAGTGTACCTGTGGATACTCCCTCATTTTATCTTTACAATGACTTAACTAGGAGGCATTTTTTTGTTTATTTGAGACAGGGTCTCACTATGTAGTTCAGACTGGCCATGAACTCTCTATGTAGCCCAGGCTGGCCTCGAACTTGCAGCACTCCTCCTGCCTCAGCCTTCCAAGTGCTAGGATTACAAGCATGTGCTACCATGCACTAGGAGGCATTTCCATTCCCAGTGAGGAAGGGGCAGAAAGTTTGAGTCAGGTTATAAGTGATAGAGCCAAATCGGGAAGTCTTTCCTTACTGTCAAGAGGCTGTAACAGCGGCAGTGATAGTATGTTGAGAAGTGTTAGGTATTGTTGATGCAATAGTAGGGTGAACACATAAATTGCGTAAATAGCTATATTTAGTGTATATATGTATTTAGTATGTATATATTAGTACATGTATTATATATATGTATACGTATATTGAGTAGCATATAAATTGAGTCAATAGCTATACTTTTAAGGACTGGAGTAATGATTCCCAGCCTCAATCTTGTGACAGTCTCAATGTGTCACAAGGTTTGTTACCAATAACCAAATATTAAAATTTGTCATCTATTGGGTCTTTTAAAAAGTAGTCCTATGTCTCATGACCTTATTTTTAATTGGTACCTATTAGTAATACAGAGAAATGAGATTTGTTTTGGTTACTGTGTATATAACATACTTGGATTATTTTCATCCTTGTTACCCTCTTTGTCCCTTTCCTGATTCCCTTCTGTACCTCTAAGAGTGTCCCTTGTAGGTTTCTGTCATCTCTGTGTCAGGACTTATTTAAAAATATTTGATTTGTTTTCTTGAATAGGAGAAAGAGCCCTACAATTGCAATTGATGCTAAGTACACCTAAATTTGGGCATACCTTGAAGAATATGCCACACTGTTTCAAGAGTGAGAAATTACAGAGTAGATTTCAAGAGTTTCCTGAGGTGGAAAGGTTAAATGTTTTGTCCTAATATGCTGTGAATGCAATTAGCTCCAATGCTTAAGCTTTTAGACTCCTAGTGATGTAACTCATGGTTATAACTATATCTACTTTTTAAATATGTTTTTAATAGCTCAGAATTCAGAACTTCAAGAAAAAGCAAATGGGATTGAGAAGGTATTTCAGACTTCCCAACAGAAATGGAAAGAAGAATGCAGAAGATTTGAACGTGACTTGGAAGAAAGAGATAATATAATTCAAAATTGCAATCAAGAATATGATTTACTTATGAAGGAAAAAAGTAGACTGGAAAAAACTCTACAGGTAAAATATTTTATTGTTGTTTTTATTTTGTTTTATTTATTTTTTGAGACGGGGTCTTGCTTTGTTGTCCAAACTAATTTCAAACTGATGAGCTCAAGTCATCCTCCCGCCTCAGCCTCCTGAGTAGCCAGGGCTCCAGGCTTGTGCTCCCATGACTGACCATAAAATTTTTACAAAATCTCATTTAAAAATTAATGCAATAAATATTTTCATAAAAGAAGTTTCCTATATGTAAGATGTGTTCTACATTTGTTGAAGTTATCCCTTTATTTCCTTTTATTTTATTATTTATTTTATTTTTTATTTATTTCCTTTATTTCTCCTTTTCTTTCCTTTTTACAGGCATTTTTACTGGTCTCTTGTGTAACATGCTTTAGTAACCTTAATATGTATACAATACTGTATTTTGTGGAAAACAATTTGAAATCTTTGATCAGTTAAAAAGGAAATAAGAAAACACTTATGTGGGCATACTGTAAAAAGATAACCTATAGCCTTTTGGTCTGGCAGCATGAAAAATTTGAATTTTAGAAATATGGGCTTTAGATTTTGGTTTGAATATGCAATAAATATAAAAAAGTATGTTTGATATGATTCTCATTATTTAGAGGGGCATATTCTATGTAGAATTTAAGAAGTGAAAAATATTTAACTTTTACTAAAATTATTTTGAGCTATTTATTCCCCTACATTTTGTTCTTTTTACTTTCTGAAGTTTAAGTGTGGTTAGGGTTCAAGTTGCCAGCCACTTAGAAGGTAGATTTTGAATTATTTAGATTTGCCATTTTAAAATTAAAAACAAAAGAAAAAAAAAACAACAAAAAACCATGATGCAAATGCTTTTTATTCACCACCGGTGTTAATAGAGTTTCTGAATTCTGGAAATGTATCCTAACTAAAAAAAATTTACAAACACATTTACTAAATGTTGAAGCTTGACAAGGGTTGCTAGACATTGTCAGATCTACTTTTTTTTTTGGTACCGGGTATCGAACTCGTGTCAGATCTACTTTTTTTTGTTTTTTTGTACCAGAGATCGAACTCGGGACCTTGCAGTTGTGAGACAGGTGCTGGAACCACTGAGCTAAATCCCCAGCCCCTGTGTCAAATCTACTTTTGATTTTATCAGTAATCCTACATTGTTTCTTTTATTTACAATTTTGTTCTAGACCTACTCTTGGCCTACTCCTGGACTCCATTAGTATGTGAATGGCAGAAATTTAGGTGGTGGCTGGTATAACAAATCCAAGGGTGGGCCTCTGTGATCTTCCCTACATAAAATGTCTTGGAGGTCTGGGGAAAGAAGAGAGAAGATGGCAGCATTCCTTGCGATCAGTCAGTTTGCATCTTATGCTATAAAATCTTGACATGATCTCTATCATTGCTTAGGAGACCTCTGCTTAGATTTTATGCTGTTGGCTTGAAACTGATCTGCACTGAGACCTTTGGGGGATTTGGGGGTTGAATAGGAACCACTGTTTGCTTCTCAGGAGAAAAGGAGCCTCAAGGCTCTTGTGAGGGTTTTCTGTTAGTTACAGTTATGAGGGTGATACTTGTTACACAGATCCATATAGACAATGAGGGTTTCTTTCTCTTGTCAGCTACAGGATTTTCTCTTCATGTTAATGGAGGCTTAATTAAAAACCCTATAGGTTAGAAAATTGGTCTTCTAAGGAAACTTGCATTTTATATTTTAAAGAACCAAATTAACTTGTAAATATTGTATACCTAGAAAAATATAAAAGGAAAAAGTTAAAAAATTATTTGTAGAACTAAAAATTATAGTCTAAACATAAAATTGTTATTTTCAGATTTTTAACATTTAGAAGTTTCCTTATTCTGATTTATTGCACAAAATTCTTTAATCTTTTGGAAATACATTATTCTCTGACAGATTTGTATATAGATTATCAAGGATTAGCCAAACAATTTGTTTGTAGGTAGAGATTTCTATATTAATTAGAATCTATTTTGTTGGTATATTAACCTCTGAAGTTAAATATTTTAGAAAAATTGGGTCAAATGTGAATGTATATACAAGTGTATATTAAGTTGCCTAAGTAGCCCTAGCTTATGTTCTGATGATCAAAATGATGATTTTATTGAGATTTTAACATGAATTGTAATAGATTTTCACTGGCTATAGGTAAGGAAAACCTCTTTGTACATTTAAATTGGTGTTGAAGGGTGAAAGAAAACTTTCCTTGATGCAATAGTGAAACAGGATTTTGTTTGTATTAAGGAAGTGTTGGAAAAACATCAACTGGAGAAGAGTAAGATGGAGTCACATGTCAGGGAGACTGCACTGGAGGAGTTTAGATTACAAGCCGAGCAATGGGATGTGGAGAGAAGAGAGTTACAATTTATAGTACAGGTATTTAAAAATAATTTAGTTCCTCAAATATGTCTTTATAATTTTATGATATTACAATCATACGCTATTAGAATTATAGTAGGATAATTCATTTAAGGGAAAAATAATTCTGTCTTTGATCTCTGGAGGTCATGTTTCGTTGCAGTTATAGGACAATAGGGCAGCTGTTACAAACAGATACCATTACTGCTAGAGTTGGGTGACTTCCATTGCAGAAATTGTGGGTTTTTTGGAACAACATATATAAATATACTTTTTCAATTTAAGATATGAGACTAAGAGCAGACTTTAATAGGATAAAGAAATAGAATAATAGGATTTTGGGATCTTAAATGCCCTTACAAATCATGTAGTGTAGTGATTTTTGATCTCTTTTTAAGAAGTGCATATTCTTAATTATCTTCTATTGCTCTAAGGATACCAAATCCCCAAGGCTTCAAATAGTCCTTTTGAAAATTACTGATTATATCTAACCCTCTTTATAGATGAGCAGATGGAGATTTAGCAGTTACTGACTTAAACTCAGATTATAGACTGAAAGATTAATGTGAGGAAAGACTACACGTCTCCAGATTTTCACTCCAGTGTACTTTGCTTTTTTTTTTTCCAGGAGATTATATGTATTTATTTTGAAGGAGAGATAGGAGAAACCTAAACTGTTAATAGTAGTAATTGTGTATTTTAGAGGAAATTTATGAACATTTAATCCTTTTTAAGGAAAACTACCTAGTAACCAACCAGTTGAAATTTCCAAATAAATTTCTATCACTTCTTCCTTCATTTTGTGTGAAAATAATGTTTTTTTATACAAAAATGACAAATTGAAATAGCCTTGATATAGATATCAAAGATATACATTTTCACAAGAATGAAAAATATCCACTTAAGATAAATTTTGTAGCCACTTTGTGTTAGGAACAACTTTGCAAAGTAGAAATTGGCCAAAAATATGCAGAGAATAGAAGGCACTTTATTTCTTTAAAAGTGGAAGCTAGCAACGATCAGTGGAAATACTGTATTTGTTGCATATCTAAAAATTCAGAACATCAACAAAAGAATAATTCCCCAGACTTTTGGTTTTTGTAAAATGTTTTTCTTCCCAGTCACCTCAATTATAGGATCTGGAAGGATAGTGCAACCACTTTTTATTTTTAATTTAAAAAGGATTTTTTGGTGGCACTGGAAATGGAACGCAGGACCTCGTGCATACTAGGCAAGTGTGTGTATATCTCCCGCACCCAGCCACTCCTTAGTATTCTAAGTGCGGGTATTTTTTGTAGTTAGTTCATAGCCCCCTTCTCCCCTTTCTGTAAGTGCTGAGTTACTACTGAGTGTACCTCAGACATAAAAGTGTTTTTAGCCCTGGGAGATCTTTCAACATAAAGATACTTATAAAGTGAGAAAATATATAGTAGTTTAACAGAATTTTGAACAAAATGCTCTGGAATCATAGAAGAGAAACTGCTTAACTACCTGGTGGATTGAGGAGTCTTCACGGAGCAGGCAGTATTTAAGCTGTTATTGGTGATTGTTCCTACAGGCTATTGGGAAGAAACTAACTTCAGTCAGGGATGATAACCCCTTCCTTTCTTTTTGTTTTTTGTTTTTGGTACCGGCAATCGAACTCGGGACCTGGGCTAAATCCCCAGCCCCAACCCTTCCTTTCTAAACCTGTAGTGCTACCAGCCAGAGTCCTAGACTTATAAAATAGGCTTTAGAGACCTCTGTGTAAATGTGCAGATGATATGATTTTGGCCCAGTTTCATGGCAAAGCCTATGAAAACCCCTGTGAAACGTGTGGTTATACCAAACTTTGTATTGTCAGTGTTTTAGTGATGATGTGGTAGAAAAGAATGAGAAACTAATACTCCCTGGTCACTACCGCCAATATCTCACTTTGCTGCTTTTGATTGTATATAATTTTTGTTTTTGGTACCGGCAATCGAACTCAGGACCTTGTGCTTGCCAGGCAGGTGTGGTGCCACTGAGCTAAATCCCTGGCCCTACTGTATATAAATTTGATTGTATTTGGTAACTGCAATATCAGAGCTTTTTTTCTTAATTTCTTGTCTTTTATATTAATATAAGAAAACTACTTTTCCTTTAGAAACCATCACCTGAGTATATTAAAAAGCCTTTTATAATACAACTTGAAGGATAGAGTAAAATTTCTTCTCTATTGGCTGTAGATGGGTTTAGTTTTTCATCTCATAATTAGGTGTTGGTATCATATAATATTCTCTTTGTATAGCTCTCTAAGGGAGTTCATTATTAAAAATAAGCTACCCTCCCCTTGTTAGTGAAACCCTATCTTTAGCAGAGAAAGCTAGTGTAATATTTCTCTCATCTGGGCTTTAGAATTCTGACTCACTCTTAAAAAAAAAAACTTAGTTTTATGCCACGTTCTTTTTTTTAAAAAATTACTTAAATTCTTTTATTGGTACATTTTAGGTATGTATACAACACATTTACATTTCTCATTGGGAA